AAAGAAAGAAACAAAATAAAAACAACAACAAGAAGAATCTTGTCATGGAAGCTGAAGTATGGCCCATTGAGATACACAGTTTACCCTTTAGTCCATTCATGTTTTCTTGCAAGCATTCATCGCCGTGAGTCATTGGTCTGACTTGAGGCCTCTAGTGTCTGCTACACCAATGTTACTGGGCTTTCACTAGGGCTCCTCATGGATATCCTGTTGTTGTCCTGTGTCATGGAGGCACACAGGAGATCAGGCCTCTTGACCCTGTTGCTGGGGTGGCAGGTGAGCCAGCCGTAGGCCGTGGGAACAGAAGAACTGACGCTGCCCATCCCCCTCTTATGTTCCCTGTAGCAATCAGGAGAGAGGATCCTGCACCTTGCCAGGCCAAAACAGTAGAGCTAGCCCTAGTAATATGAGTGAGGATGGCCTGGATCTGGGGGCCTAAGAGCAGGAGATCTGGCCCTGCTCCTTGTGTAGGTGCACTGGGTGAGCTAGCCCAGGCAGTTCTGGAGAGCTCGTCCAGGTGGTGATGATGAGGGAAAGTTAGCGAGCTGACTAACCCAGCTACCCCCAGGCCTGGAACCGGGGCTATGAGTTGGCCCACCTCAGTATCCACTGAATCTATGAACCATTGGGAGCACATGAAGGGATGAACCTTACTTTTAACTTTTCTATCAAAGCCTGAATAGTTTTTATATCCAGGAATTTCTTTTTCCCTTTGGGCAGCAAGACAACTCCTGGATCTGTACCTCTCTCGGTTCATTGCTTTTCTTCACATATCTAATAACCAGCTCTCTTGTTTTGCAACTTCCTTTTAACTTCTTCCCCTGCCACACACATGCACTAGCTTTTTTAAACTCTCCTTGATGATGCCAATTAAGTATTTTTGAGCAATCTGGAGCTGAATTTGGAAGGCATCAGACTTAATAGCTAGGTTATTACTGCAGTTTACCAACGTGGGCTCATTAGCAATGATCTTTTCTTTTCACCTTGCCACAACATAATGAGGTTATTAATTAGAGCAAGAAACATAAGTGTTCTTGCTTTCCCTTAATACCATCTGGAGAGAGTCAGGCCCTTTGTCATAGTTCCTCATAAATAGCTGCAGGGTGATACGTTTAGATCTTTACAAAGTGATATTTTCCCTCACTAAAACCTCGTTCTCTTTAAACACTGCTTAAGGTTCATATATTACTTACTTTTGCTGTGCTAAAACACCACAACCAAAAGTGGCATATAGAACCAGTTTATTTGGGCTTACTGCTCCAGAGTAGGAGTTTGCTATGATGAAGAGAAGGCGTGGCAGTAGGCAGGGATGGCAGACAGAGCAAGACACTGAAAGCTCACATCCTCAGCTGAAAGCATGAAGCAAAGAGAAAACTGGACTTGATGTGAGGCTCTAAACTCCCAAAGCTCACCCTCAGTGACAGACTACCTTCAGCAAGTCTGTGCCTCCTCATCCTCCCCCAAACAGTGCTACCAACCAGGACCAAGAGTTCAAATATCTGTGCCTGTGAGGGACATTCTTATTCAAAACACTATAACCCCTACAATCTCTGAGCATTAATGTGGCCTCGTGCAACTTCAGGGAGAGGCAATAGAGTGTAAATTGTCTATTGTACAATCCCTAGAGAACACTGCCTAGGGTTAAATCTTGGACTTTGCTGCCCATTGTGTGATACCTGCATATAGCTAATCTCTGTCTTCCTCCACTTCCTTACCTGGACCAGGGTTACATAGATTTATGTGTGTGAGATGTTTAGACCAAAACCTTGCACATATTGAGCAATGAATATGAGAACAGTTAGGTTGGTTCATTACATCCAAAGAAAGGCTTTTGGCTGTTCCTGTGAACAAGACTCTCTGGTATTATTACTTTTAAATGATGACACTATCACCAAAACTCATAGGCTCACAAGAGAACAGTGCCAGGTGTGGGATACCTCCTGTTCATCGGGGGTATCCAGTAGACCCCCACAAACAATAGAGACAATTCCCATTACTCTTGGTCACCCCAATGAGCTTGATGTTAAGAACCCATCGCTGAAGACCGTACACAGTTTTGTCACAGAACAAAAGAAATAAAGGTGATACCAAGATAGAAGCTTCCTCCCTGCTAAATATCTTTCACCATGCCAGAGGTGCTCTACAGGCTATTGAAGGAGAGAGAGAGGTCACCAGAAGTCTTACCTAGTTGTGAATTCTGTGAGCTTCAATAACAAACTGCTGGTAAGATGTGCCCATTGATGCCATAGTGGCATGAATACTATCTGGGTAACCAGCTGCCTTCGGTTTGGATTTAAGGCCACTCCACAGAAATGAACTTATACCTGATACTGTAAGTCTGACCAGGAACCCAATGGCTGGAAAGATCATATACCCTAGAGGGAACCCTACTTTTGTTGTACTTCTCAATGAAAACAGCATCAATCTGCTTTTTTTAATTAATAAAATTAATATATGAATTTTATATTCATAGATTAATGCAGCTATCACCCCTCATCAGATATGTTCCTTATTACAGTGGACATCAGTTAACACAGAGACTCATAGTTAGCCAAATTCCAAACGAATGTGGCTGTTTAGTGCTCAGATTCAAATGGGGCATCTCTATATCACACTCCCCTAAGAACATCATAGAAGGGAGGTAGAAAGATTTTAACAGTGATACAGTTCATGATAGGGCCATTGTACTCATGAGCTCACAGCAGCTGGGGCTGCCTACACACGATCTACACAAGATCAGGCCAATCAACATTACATTATGGATGGTGGAGGGATTCATGAGGACTACACTCAGATGAGAGCTATTGGCAATTGATGGCTAAGGGACAAACAGTTTTTTTTTCCAGGAGTGTGCCTCATAGTTGGTTATCCATGCTCCAGTGACTGTTATGAGTATATGTTTGAGTCTATGGCATGGGATTCCCTGGAGCTGGAGTTGCAGCCACCTGATGTAGACTCTTAGGATCAAACTTGGGTCTCCGCAAAAGCAATAACACTCTAACTACTAAATCATCCATTCAGCCCCATATCTGACATTCTTAAAGAACAGATAAATACAGTTAAACTTTTTAAAAATCATAGTTTAAAATCTAACATACAGTACCTCAGAATGTGGCCTTACTTGGAAAGAGAACCTTTAAAGAGGCCATCAATCAAAAATAAGGTCATTAGGGTGAGAAGCTATATGGTTGATGTCCTTATAAAAGGGGAGATTTAGATATAGGGACAAATACTGAGAAGAGATTCAGGGGAAATGGTGCTCTTCAAGAGAGGAAGCCTAGAGTAGACTCACCCTTAACAAGCCTTCAAAAGAAACCAGTTGAACCAGCACCTTGATTTTGAACTTTTAGCCCAAATCTGTAGAGTAAGTTCCTGCCATTTAAACCACCCAGTAGGGGAATCGTCATTACAGCCTTCTAGACATATGATAGAGGTAGTCATAGCAGCATGTCTCTATCTCCAGGGAGCATAGTTTGTAGCCAAAGATACGCATTATTCTACAGAACTCTGGTTGAACACAATGCAATTTCACTAATGCCTTAAACAGATGAGGAAGCACAAAAGTACACACCAGACAGGACTCTCAAGAGAGTTCTCCATTTCCTGCTTCTGTCCCCCTCACCGTCTCCTGGTGATTGTGATATATCTTTCCTTCTTCCTTGTCTCATCCTCTTTCCCCCACTCTTCCTCCTGTTCTTCAGTTTCTTACATTCTGGTTTCCCACGCTTCCCTAACACAGCTAAGTAATAAATAGGATCCCAAGTAGCACCCAGGCTTGTACATTAAAGATATAAACTACCTATGGGCTGGGGATGTAGTTCAGTTGGCAGAGTGTAGCCTAGCATGCACAAAGCCCCCTGTTCCATCCACAGCACTAAACAAATTCATTGTGGTGCATATCTGTAATTTCAGCACTTAGGAGGTGGACATAGGAGGATCAGAAGTTCAGAGTCATTTTCTGCCGTGAAGTGAGTTTGAGGTCAGCCTGTATTCATTTTTATACAACCCTATGTCAAGAAACAAAACAGACAACAAAGAGATACAACCCCCTAGAAACAAACTTCATGTCTTGTGTCTTAGCTAGGGTTTCTATTGCTGTGAAGAGACACTATGAGCATGGCTGCTCTTGTAAAGGAAAAACATTTAATTCAGGGTGGCTTACCTTTTTGGAATTTAGTTCATTATCATCATGCTGCAACATGATGGCATGAAGGCAGACTTGGTGCTGGAAATGGAGCTGAGATTCCGACATCTTGATGTTCAGGCAAACAGGAAGTGGTCTGTCTCACTGGGCACGGCTTGAACATGAGACCTTAAAGCCCGCCTCTACAGTGACACACTTCCTCCAACAAGACCACACCTCCTAAAAGTGCCACTCCCTTTGGGGCCCATTTTTTTCAAAACACCATATCTTGCTCAGTAGTTTTAACATCTCAGATAGGAGTCTGTCATTCCCTCACATTGTATTAGATGCCCGCCTGTCAAAGGTGATCAAAATGACACAGCCATATTGCTTCCACTGTAGCTACTTGTGTGGGATGAGGGAGGAGGCCGTTGCTAAGAGAGGGATACTGGGCAGATAATTTCAAGGAGTCCTGTTACCTGAGCCATGGAATCAGCAGCATGGGGCTGACAAACAGCACAGCACAAAACTGACTGCTCTAGGGAAATCAGCCTGCTAACAACGGCATCTTCTAGTCAGACTGAGAGTGGCTGCTTCCAGGGAGGTAGAAGCGAGTTGTGGTTATGACAGTGGGCCTTTGAATCAGAAACTCATGGCTTCTAACTGATGTGCTCATCATGTGGTCCTGAGCACGTCACCTGCCTCTCGGCTTCCTCTTTCAAAGAGAGATAAAAAATTCCATTGCTAAGTTTGAGATGAAGCCTGAATGTGCACTGCATAGTAATAGAAATGTACAGTAAACACAAGCATCCTACCCTGGTAGTGTTTGATGCATCATTTTTGTTTGTTTGTTTGTTTGTTTTGCATTCTCCTCCAGGCAGAGTTCTCTGAGCTGAACCTGGCTGCTTATGTGACCGGAGGCTGCATGGTGGACATGCAAGTTGTGAGAAATGGCACCAAAATCGTGAGGTAAGCAAACCTGAGCTACAGAAGCCATCTGAAAAGTGTTTATACGAAACCTCACAGAGACACCTTCACACAACCCTCCCCCCCGCACCCTGCCTGCTGTCTGTGGCCACTTTCAGGTGCCTCGTATACATCCCTGCACCAAATGATTTCCACAGAGTCCCAGGTGTCCCCATAGCAGAAATGATTAATGCCACAAGCGCATGAGAAGGAACGGTGATGCCCAGGAGGAAGGCTTGGGGTAAAGGCATGGGTTCTGGTTGTGGAGCTGTGACCTCGTTCTGCCTGTGTTTGGTTCCTGTTGTACTCTGTTTCTCACACACGTGTGGAGAGAGCAACACTGCAGCCAGAGGCTGCCAGTTTCCATGAATTGGTATGTGGGAGAGCAGTCTATCCACAGTGTTAGCAGCAAGAACATACTCCATCTCAGAGTGAAACCCTGCGCATCATATTCTCCAGAAAGCTGTGTAGGATGTGTGCTCATCTGGACAGGAAGTGAGGGGATTCTTCAGAAGTCAGAAATGACAAGTACATGTTCATCAGAGAGATAAGAATCACATAAATGCAACCCAATGTGGCTAGGCACTGGGAAAGAGATGTACAGGCCAATGTGTGAGGGTCTAAATGAGTAAGGTATGACACTCAGGTCTGGAAAAAAAAAGGGGAAAACAACCATCTGGGGGAAAGGTAGCATATGTGTAGCATCTTGTCAAACAATAGTACAGGTGTTATTCTTTGGCTGGGGAGAGGGTATGAGGATTCTGCAAGTTAAAAACAGGCAAGCAATGGAGCATGGTTGCAGGTAAATACAGGCAAGCAATGGAGCATGGTTGAGGGAAGCGAAACAATTGGCTAATGCAATCATTTATTGCATGTTTCCTTAGCGCAGGGAAGGTATTGTGTGACTTTCTGTTTCCAGTAGGCCACCACTAAAAACAAGTTTCCAACAAGTGTAATCCTTAGAAGCCTTCAGAGAGTTGGCGTGACAATGGGGATTACCAGGGAGAGATTATAATGAAACAAGGGAGGCCCAGAAAGATAAATAAGAATTAGCATTTGAATGTCATTTGTTTAGCAGAATCTTTGGGATGTGGGGCCAAGCTAGAGGAAATAGGTCACCACGGTGGGCCTTAAGTTTTATCTAGTTCTACCCAGCTCTACTCAGATCTTTCCATTTTCCTGACCAGCTACAGTGTGAAGATTGCTTCCCTGTGCTCCCACAAGCCACTACTAGGTCATACCTTCCCCACAGTGATGGCCTGAAACCTCTCTGAAACTGTGATCCAAAACCTGCTTTGCCTCTCTTAAGTGGCTTCAGTCGGGTACTCTGTCACAGTGATGGAAAAAGCAACGACCACAAGGACCAAAGCCACCGTGTCTTTAGACTGACTATGTGCTGGTGTCCAGATTAGAAACTGGCTTTGATAGGCTAAGGAGGGAAAGGGAAAAAGAAGTCAACCCTCAGCCCCACTGTCTTGGAGAGTAATGAACTGAGATCCCAACAGACTCCACCTTCAAGGTGAACAGAAAACCAGAGTGCCTGAGCCCTCACAGATTGAATTGAGGCCTAGGAAGTTTGGACATTAAACTTGATGCCAGTTCATGTCAAGCACGCCAGAAGTATAAGTTCTTTATAAAAGAACACACTTTTGGCCAGGTGGTGATGGCACACGCCTTTTATCCCACAAATCAGGAGGTAGAGGCAGGCAGATATTTGTGAGTTCCTGGTCAGCCTGGTCTACAAGGACTAGTTCCAGGACAGCCATAGAAACCCTATCTTCAAACAAACAAAAAGCCACCATACTTTCATGCTATGCTTTGGATGTAGCTGTCACATGGTCAAAATTAAGTAGCATTAGTGTCAGGAAATAGCAGAAACAGGAGTAGTGGACCACAGAAGCTAGACTTCAGAGAGAGGAGCCATTGCAGTTGCCAGACACAGACTAGTAAAAGAGAAAGTGGTAATTGTCGAGAGGAAAAGAAAATCAAGTTGGAAAATATTGGCAGAAAACAGGAAACTATAAAAACTAAGCATTCTAACTTGAATTTGTTCAGATCTTCTGCACGCTGTCACAGTGCCTGTGGATGAATATCTGCATCAGCCCTCTTGTCTATAGCAAGGGCTGTTTCCTTGAAGTTGTCTGCCACCTCTGGCTCTTACAATCTTTCAGCCTCCTCTTCAACATTGATCTCCACTCCTTGAGGGAAGGGATGTCATACACCCCACTTAGTGCTGACAGTGCCAAAGGCCCTCATTCTCTGCATGTTGTCCCTTCTACATGTGATTTTCTGTGTTAATTACCTTCTACAGCAAAAAGAAGATTCTCTGATGAGGGTACAGCAGTGCACTGGTTTATAGATATAGCACTATGTCATTAAGAGTCATTTTATTGCTATTCATTTAGCAGAATGATTGTAGTAGATTTTCCCCTAGGATTCATGGCCTATCTAACTTCAGGATAGTTGGCCTCATTAAAGTCAGAGTATGAGCTGGGTGGTGGTGGCACACACCCTTAATCCCAGCACTCGGGAGGAAGGAAGAGGCAGGCAGATCTCTGTGGCTTTGAGGCCAGCCTGATCTATAAGAGCTAGTTCCAGGACGGGCTCCAAAGCTACAGAGAAACCCTGTCTCAAAAATGCAATCAGTCAATCAATAAAGTTCAGACCAAAAGTCAGGGTATGGGTTCTATTTTAAGTATCCAGCCTTAAAACAGAGAAGGGGAAGTGGACACAAAGTCCTACGCCTAGTAAAAAAAAAAAAAAAGATATTGCAATTGATAGTTGCTGGGAGAGAAAAATCTGTTTTCTTCAATGGAGTGACACTAAGTACAACCACACCACTGGTCGGGCTGTATACTAAGGAATAGTTGGCCAACACAAAATGGACTCTATGTTTTTGTTTGTTTGATTGGTTTGGTTTTAATTGTTATTACTGTGTCCTTTTATGTGTGTTTTTAAAATTTGTTTTGGATTGGTTTTATCTTTTAAGAGAAAAAAAATACAAAGATGGTTAGGGAGGGAGGATCTGGAAGGAGTTGGGGGATGAAAAACAATATGACCAAAACATACTATATTAAAGAGTTTAAATAAACAGCTCTAAAAAGTAGAACTTCTAGAAATGGAAAACTATAATTGCCAAAATGTTTGGATGTGTTGTGTTTAACAGCATATTCGACACAGTTGAGGAAGCATTCATGGAATTAAATAAATTGTCCTGAAGGAGACAGAACGAAGGACAGTAGGAGTGCATAAGAGTAGTCTAGATTTCATCATTTGCTGTAATGTTCATTTACTCATAGGGTCAGAAGGAAAGCCAAAGAACAAAAGAATGAGGCAGAGGCAGGAGTGCAAGGGATGATACCTCCAGCACAGTGCCAAGCCAGAAGCTCAATACAGTTGAGGCAGGATTAGGAAAAAGAATTCTAAACCAACATGTCCGTGCAACTTTAGAAAGATTTTAAAAAAAAATTCTTGAGAGTAGACAGAATTAGGGAAGTAATTTTTTTTATTGTAATAACAGAGTGATAGCTTTGAAAGAGCCGTGGTGAGGATGCCTTCAGAGTAGTGAAGAAAATGAGGTGCCAGCCTTTCATTCCACCTTGAGGGAAACAGCTTACATGAACGCTGAATGAATAAAAACCGAAGAGCAGATCCTCGCTAAGGGAAATTCACAAAGAAAAATGATCCCAGAGTAAGGTCGGCTGCAAGAGGTGGAAAGGAAAGAAGAGAGTGTGTGTGGGTGGCTGTTGTTTTTAGGTGATCATGGTAATAAACTACTTGCAGGGTAGGAACGGTGATTATGAAGTGGCTCTGTGTGGGTAGGTAAAGAGACTCTTCCCTGTTCTACTGACTGACTACCCCATTGTGTTCACTCTGTCAATGGGAATAGCCATGGAACCGCTGTCCTGCCTCCTAGTTTACCATATTCCTGTCCCTGAAGTCATGTCCTTGCTTCTTCTTTTCCCAGAGGTTCCTTGGACCTTGTAGTGGAGACACACTGTCAGAGGCAGTGGTGGAGTGTCAGTCTAGCAAGCTTGATACAAACCTTTGTCTAATAAGCACTCATTTACCAGGAAGCTACAGCTTGATTTACACTGTGACCTGCAGGTAGAAAGCAATGGAATCTTCCTTATGCATGTGGGACCATGACAAGCCCTAGCTGCGCTCTTGACTTGTGGTATTTCCTTTCAGAGGCATTTAGATGTCTTATTGGAGATGCCAATAGGCATTTTGCCCAGGGGCCATGGTTGTTAAATATGTCAGCAGGGCCTATACCCAGATAGTACTAAGCATCATCTCTAGGCGTCAGTAGGAATCTTGCTGGTCGATTGAGTAAAGAAGATGGGATCTCACTAATCTGGACAGGCACCATCCTATCCACACAGAGCCCAAGCTAAGAGCACAAAAGGCCAAGCTGAGACTGTCTTCTGCACTCCTGTCCTCTGTCATCAAAGCTCTCAGTTGTGACAGTTCCACACTCTAGAATTTACCTCAATGGTCTCTCGGTTCCTGAGCCTCGGCCTGAGAATGACACCATTGGCTCCCCTGCTTCTCAGAACTCCACACTCACTGAACCCCATCACTAGATGGCATATTATGGGACTTCTCCATGGTCATGTGCACTAGTCTCAGTAACACGTTTCTGTTGCTCTGTATTCTGTTGCTTCTGTTTCCACAAAGAACTTAAGGTTCTCGTATTCCAAGAGATCAAGATGGTGGCAGCAAACCACTGCTAATCTTCTCCATCACCTGTCTCTTCTGTTCTGTGAAACAGTACCTAGATAATTTTCCACCACAATGACCCCTCTCTGCCTCATTGTCTGGGCAGTGTGTGCAGCTGACAACATATGACCAGTCCTGGTCTATTGGGCTGTCAGCTTGGACTCAAGGTGAGACAACAGGATTTTCTCACAAGACTTTTTCTAGAGCTCTTGGTTAGCAGGGACATGCGTTTGCAGGGGCTACTGAGCTGCTGGGGTGGACGTCCAGAGATGCTGGGGTAA